TGCCTGCTATTTTGAAAAGGATCCTGCCTGTGCTACTCTGCCTCCTAAACTAAATTGTCAGCTTCATGAAGGCAAGGACTCTGGTATTTAAATGTTTATTTAAGTTCTCTGCACACTAGTTGGTACCAGATGTCTTAGTCTATTTCCCCATGACCCCTGTGACAGAGGTCCTCACCTGATCTCTATACAGCCAGAGGCGTGCTCAGGAGCAGCACAGGTAAAAAGGATTGTAGGATATGAGCGATGCACAGTGCGCTCGCTCTGGCCCTGCTCTTGCTGGTGCTACTCGGGGAGCATGTGGGAATGCAGGGGGATGAGACTGTCTTTACGCCTAGGGCAGCCTTGAATCAGCCTTATTTTATGAAACAGTAAATCAGTCACAAACCTTGGCATTTGAGAAATGTATGTGTGCAACATGTACAACACAAAAACAATAAATGACCTTCTTTTTTTTATTTCTCTAAAATTAACTTCTGTTCAAGTCACCACTCCTCACCAAGGTTGATGACAGGTACAATATCAGATCATTTTTGGTGCCGCTTGCCCATCCCCCACCCCCACCCTAACCCCCATTTGAGGGGGAAGTCCAGTAAAATGGACCCTGACCAGTGTTAGGACCCTGACCACTGTTCCTGGTTCAGCCAGCCCTGCTGGCTGCCCCTTTCCCACCCCCGAACACCTGGGCCTAGCTCCTGAGTAATGGTCAGCAAATGCTCATCCTCCCAGACACACAGCCGTTACCATCCCAGGTTCAGTAACCTCTAGGAGCCCTGCAATCAAGAGGTGCATGGGTCCCCATCTTTGAACCAAACTCTGTAACCTCCCCCTCCAGTCTTCAGAGATCTACCCACTGCTGGCATCAGGCCCCTCCTCCCTTCAATTTTGTTTTGTTTTGTTGTTATGTTTACTAAAACTTTGTGCAGATACAGTTCACATACCATACAATTTACCCATGTAAAGTGTACAATTCGGTAGTTTTTTAGTATATTCCCCAAGTTACGTAATCGTCACCACAGTCAGCTTTAGAACATTTTCATCACCCCTAAAAGAAATTCCATTCCCATTAGTAATCACTCCTACATGCCACCCCACCACCCCTGCTCCCAGTTCTAGACAAACAATAATCTACTTTCTGTCCCTGTGGATTTGCCTATTCTGGACATTTCATATAAATGGGCTCTTACAACATATGGTCTGTTGTGACTGGCCTCTTTCACTTAACATCAAGGCTCATCCATGTCATGGCTTGTAGTTTGTTCCAGTTTATTGCTGAATAATATTCCGTTGTGTAAATATACCAAATTTTATTTCTCTTTTCATTGGTTAATGAACATTGGGATCCTTTAGTTCTTGAAGATTCAATCTTCCCTGTCTTCAGCTCTTTCTGTCTGATAGCCCCAGATCCGGGAGCACAGACTCACCTGCCTGTCGTGTGGATATGAGAAAAATAGGAAGCTGTCTGGATTGTGGCATAGAAGAATACATATGCCCTATTTAGAACCAACAGCCTCTACTCACACATGGCCATGTGGCCATCCAGACCTGGTGTTATCAGATCTTCAGATTGTCCCAAAGAGGCCAGAATGTGGATTTTTTTTATGTGAAGATTTTCTAATTTCTAAATGTTGGTCCATTAAAACAAACACTAAGTGAGAGAGACAACACACACTTGTGGTTAAGGCTAAATGCTGTATTGTGATCTCTGAGTGATACAGAGACACATCTCATCTCCAGAAACCTGAGAGGGGTCACCTGGGGCAGGTGCTCCCCTGGTAATTCCAGCCCTCTCCTTTGGCAACACAAAAGGGCTGTTCATCCCATTGGAGGAAAGAAGGGCCCAAGCCTAAGGTCTAAAGCACTGGGTCAGGAGCGGGCAAAATACTTCTCATTCTTTGGATCTTAATTCTACATCAGCAGAATAAACAAAGCACAGGCTGATGTCTACATTAAATTAGTGCTAACTTGTCTTGAAAATTACTGTGGCCTCATTCAAGATAGATTATAACCTGCTAGTGTGACCTTGATTGTGACCATGACCTCGACCATGGTTGAGAACCACTGATTTTGTATAAAATGTGCCCTGAATCCATGAGGACAAATCTGCGATAATAAGAAAGGAGAAAAAGTGATTGTGTGATTTCCTTATGTAGAGAAAACACCCTGGTAATGGATGTTGGGAGTGGAAAATATTGAGGTTTATGATAACAGCCAGTGTTTATTGAGTAAATAACCACTCTGCCACTATACTGTCCGCTTTTCATTTTGTTTAGCATGTGATTGTGAAGGAAGTGGGTATTTTTAAAGGGAAAGAGATTGATAGAAACCAGCAATGGTATAGTGCTTGGTATTTGCCAAGAGATTTTAAATGGATTATATTTGAAACTGTGAAGACAGGCATTTTTACCTAATTCTGTTTTGTAAGTGGGACATATTTATATAACTGAGACATAGAACAGGAGAAATGACTTGCTTAAGGTCATCCAGCAAAGGGGCCTAGGACTTAAATCCATATTTTTGGATTCCAAATTCTAGGTCTTTTTCCTCATTTACAGAGCTGTCCTTTTAATACTCTCCAATTAGGGTATATAGATACTTTTAGACTTATGTGTTTAAGTTTATATTGATAGTACCCATTCAGAAAAAATAAAAGGAAACGGTTTCCAAACTGTTTCAGTATTTCTTTTTTTTTCCTGAGTCAGAGTCTCACTCTGTTGCCCGGGTTAGAGTACCATGGCATCAACCTAGCTCACAGCAACCTCAAATTTCCTGAGCTAAAGCGATCCTACTGCCTCAGCCTCCCAAGTGGCTGAACTACAGGCACATGCCACCATGCCTGGCTAATTTTTTCTATATATTTTTAGTTGGCCAATTAATTTCTTTCTATTTTTAGTAGAGAAGGGGTCTCGCACTTGCTCAGGCTGTTTTTGAACTCCTGACCTTGAGTGATCCACCCGCCTCGGCCTCCCAGAGTGCTAGGATTACAGGCGTGAGCCACGTGCCTGGCCATGTTTTAGTATTTTCCACATTCTTTGGTTGAGTCCTCAATACTAAGTTAATTAATTAATAATTGGGAGCAGATGTGTCCATGAATAACTTGATTTTTCTTTTTGAGACAGGGTTTTACTCTGTCACCCAGGCTGGAGTGCAGTGGCTTGGTAATAGCTCACAGCAACCTCAAACTCCTGGGCTCAAGCAATCCTCCTGCCTCAGCCTCCCAAGTAGCTGGGACTGCAGGTGCACACTACCATGCCTGGCTAATTTCTTTTATTTTTTGTATAGATGGGGTCTCACTCTTGGTCAGGCTGGTCTCAAACTCCTGGCCTCAAGCAATCCTCCCACCTTAGCCTCCCAAAGTTCTGGGATTACAGGGGTGAGCCGCCCTGCCCTGCTTTATTTTCTTTTTTGCCTAGTAAGAAAAATGATAATTTATAAGGAGCAAAAAAACCTTCAGGCTCAATCCTAATTACGCTTTTTTGATTATACGTTTAGTCATTAAATTCATTCAACACTGAATATTTATTGAGTCTGTCATTGGTTTCCTGTGGCTGCTGAACACATTAAATTTTGTGGTTTAAAACCGCACAAATTTATTGCCTTACAGTTCTGGAGGTCAGAAGCCTCAAATCAAGGTGTCATCAGGTCTGCATTCCTTCTGGAGGTTCTGAGGGGAGAATGTTTCTCGTGTGCTTGCTTTTTTCAGTTTCTAGAGGCTGCCTGCATTCCTTGGCTCCTGGCCTCTTCCTAAAATCACTACAACCTCTTATTTTTGTTGCCACATCTCCTACTTCTGTCTTTGACCTTCTTGCCTCTTTCTTAGAAGGACCCTTATAAAGTCTCTATTACTTTGGGCCCAGCTAGATAATCCAGGATGACCTCCCTATGTTTAAGTCAGTTAATTAGCAATCTAATTCCATCTGCAACTATGATCCCACATTGCCACGATAGCTATTTAAGGTTCCAGGGATTAGGACATGGACATCTTTAGAGGGTACAGGGGTTATTTTGTTTGCCACAAGTACCTACTATATGCCCACGTATTTATGTTCTGTTTGGTGACTTTGTTAATTAGATATACTTATCACTGACACCTCTGCATCCATTTTTCTGTACAAGTGACATGTCCAATGTCCACCTCTTCATTCATGTCTGATGTCCACCTCTTCAAGCACATGACAGATGTAGTGTCTGTTAATTGTGGCAGCCTCTAGTGCCACCATTAACTTCAAAAGAAATGCCTCCATTTGGGGCAATAGCTGTGTTTCCACATCAAGCTCACTGTGACACATCCAGAGTGGCTGCTCGTAACTGAGTAACTGAATGATGCTTTTCGTTGTACTGGAATTGTCTCTCCTACCACAGGTTCACCAACACTCACTTAGGAGAAGAGCCAACCTTCATTGACCCCAGCCCTTTTTATAAGGATGAGAAGTAGGGAAAAATATGGAAGTTATTATCTCAACTGGGATACTTTAGCAAGTGAAAGGAGGCATTATTAATAATCATGCAGGAACAATAGGTGTAAAAGAGGACTGTTCAGGGAACACTGGGCCGTAGGGTCTCCATATATGTTAAGTCCATATAAATAATAACAGCCTTCAATACTGTACAAGTTTTGAGTGCTCTAGTAGAAGCATTATATGCTTTACCTCATTTAATTTGTACAACAGTCTTATAAAGTAGGTATTATTATTATTCATTCCTATTTCAGAGTTGAGGAAAATAAAGCTCAGAAATTTAAATACCTGGCTTAAGCTAGTAAGTTTCTAAGTTGGGATTTAAGCCCAATTTTGTAAAACTCTAAAGCAAATTTTTTTTTCCATTATAGTATCTTTCCGAAAAAGTGTACCTCCTTAGAAATTATTGAATTGAAGTTGTCAGCTGGGTACAGTTGGATATTTTAAGAATGAAGTCACCAGTTAGGGTTATACACTATTTTTATTAAAGGTCTGTGAAAAATCAGGAGCTGTAATAGATGCTTTTTCTTTCTATATTTCCTTTAGGTCTGTCAGTTTGTCGTCTCCGTCAATGGGCTCAATGTGTTGCATGTAGACTACCGGACAGTGAGCAACCTGATTCTCACAGGCCCCCGGACAATCGTCATGGAAGTCATGGAGGAGTTGGAGCACTGAGCAGCTGGACCTCCTAGCCCGCCAGTGGCCTGTGGGTGATCAAAGCCAGGATGAAGCAAAGCAATGCAATGACAAGACTTCCATGCAAATGGATGGTTTTGGACATACAAATCTTTTCTCCGTACAAATACATCTTAAGTTGAGTTTCATACACTGTTCAAATGTGGAAGAACCGGGTAACATATCTATAAAAAAAAAATGTCAGTGTAGAAAACATCTGGGAAACGAGAGTTTTCCTACATGCTAGAATTGCCTTACTAGATTTCTATTTGCAGTTTTCATTCATTGTTTTTTTTTCTTAGTTTGCAGGAAGTTGTTGAAATGTTTCTCTAGCCCAAACAGGTAAACATTCTAAAATCCCCTTCTTAAGAATCAACAGAGTAGTTGGTACAGACTTTAATTGTACTCTCACCAAAATTAGCATGGCGCTGTTTAATAGAGAATCTCGATTTCACTGAGATTCAAATTAAAGCAGCATCCAAAGGAGTATGATGTGTTCACTAACATTTTCAAGAAGGTTCTAACACATTCAAGTGTACTTAAAAGCTATCCAAAATATGACTTTTTTTTTTTTGAGACAAGAGTCTTGCTCTGTTGCCCTGGATAGAGTGTGGTGGCCATCAGCCTAGCTCACAGGAACCTCAGACTCCTGGGCTCAAGTGAAATCCTCCTGCCTCAGCCTCCCAAGTAGCTGGGACTGCAGGAGTATACCACCACACGTGGCTAAGATTTTGTATTTTTAGTAGAGATGGGGTCTCACTCTTGCTCACGCTGGTCTTGAACTCCTGCCCTTAAGTGATCCTCCCGTCTTGGCCTTCCAGGATGCTAGGATTACGGATGTGAGCCACCATACCTGGCCATGACTTTTTCTTACTCCCTGCTTTTAGTATCAACTTTTAATTTAACATGTTTGTTATGGCATTAGCTAAAAAACAAAAACACAAAAACTTTGTGATGCTCTGGATGGGGGTAGATAAAGAGATACTACTTAAAATTCTTTGCTCCTATTTTCTCTTTCTGAGCCTAAATCATTATGTTCTATAAATCAGCTTACAGCAGCTTTCTAGAATTAACCCCAAATATGTTGAATGTTAAAACAGATGTTTGTATATACACATATAATTAAAATCAAGCCTTCTGGCAAGATTTCACTTTGAAGGTGTCCCTTTTTAAGGGATGTATTCTAGAACTTGGCCCATATTTGATAAAACTTGAAACTCTAAACTGCCTCCTTAGCCTGAATGTTTAGTAGCTTTCTAGTGTAACCTATTCTAAAGACATGACATGCTGCTTATTTGGGGGGGATTATTTTTCACCAAAATCACCATCTTGTGTTGTAACTTTTCAGCTCATTTGTATATATGTGTGTTTTCTTTTTAGTATAGGAAAGAGTACATTTTGGGACTTGATGTATAGAGGAAATTCCTCAACGTGCCAAATTCGGGAGTCAGGGAATGCTAAATTCTTCTTCATTTCAAATAATGAATCTGAACCATGAGGTTGCTTTCTTATCATGGATTAACAAAATAAAATATGAGTGTTGCACCTCAGTCATCTCTTTGTGATAGGTTATCATAATGTGCTGATACTTGTGGGTGGACGGACATACCATGCTAAATGTGTTACATATATATATTTCTGGTAAGCCAATTTTTTGGATCTGTAGCTTTAGTCAGAGAATAGGATTTTGAAGTAATGTAGAATGTCTAACGTTAATATTGTTGATCTACATTTGAGAAGTATTATGGCCTCTGTGTGTGTGCATTTATACTGTATGCCAGGCTCTGTGCGACGTCATTCAATGCATAGGTCTCTTTTAAACCCCATCGCAAACTACAAGGTAGATTTTAACACCCATATTCTTCAGATGTGGAAACTAAGTCTGAGCAAGATTAAAAATGTTCTCTAAGATCATACAGCTGCAAGAACTACTAAGTGATACAGGCTGAATTCAAACACAGGTTTATTTAATGCTATGGTCCATGCTACCCCCATGCCCCCAATGTTTCCCCATTTAGGGACTTTATTTTGAGGGCTTATTTTGTGCCAGGTGCTGTGCTAAGACTTTACATTGCTTGTCCTTATTGACCTGTGAGGTCAATACCATCATCATTCCCGTTTTAGAGATGAGGGAACTGACTCATAAAGAGGTCAGTCACATGCCCAAGGCCACACGACTAGTAAGTGAGAGACTTTACCACTTGGCTTTTAAAAATTTTTTATAGAATCTTTAAAAGATGAGTTTTAAATGCTTTCTGTCCTCAAGTATTTATTAATTGACAAAAGAAGAAGGAATGTATTTTGAGAAATAGCATCTTCTTCTTGCCTACATTACCCATTATCTTGGACCCTGACCTAATAGAACTTCCCTTTCCTTTGAAATTGCCCTGTTACCATCTGTCTCCCTAACTAGAATCTAAGCATCTGCAAAACAGGGACTGTGTCTTGGTACCCAGGGTATTTCCTTCACCCAGCACAGTTCCTGACCCAGAATAATGTGTCAGCTCTCCCTTGTCTAACAAACCACCTCAAATCACAGCTTATAACACCACCATTTATTTGCTCATGATCCTACCGGTTGGCAATGTTGACAGAACTTTGCTGGTTCTCTGTGGGTGCCAGTTGGCTCCCCACACACATTTGTGGTCAGTGAGCAGGTTGGTTGGAGACTGGTTATCTTGGATGGCCTCATGCATGTTTCGAAGTTGGCTGGGGCTACTGGCCGAGGTGCCTCAGTTCCATCCACCTGGCCTTGCCCCAGGCTGGGATCTGAGACTGAAGAGGTTGAGAACAGAAACCACAAGGCCTTTTCTCAACTTGCTTGAAGTTACACAGTGTCATACTCCCACAACTTTAAGAGCCAAACCGAGTTACAAAGCTAGCCCAGAATCAGGGGGTGAGGAAATAGACTCTACCTTTTGCTGGAAAGAGCTTTAAAGAATTTGTAGCCATTTTTAATCCACCAAGAGTAGTTACCCAGTATTTGTTGAGTAAAGGCCCAAGAGGTTACCTGGTAATGAGAAGCTTTTGGCTACCCGATGCAAATTGCTGACCAACCACTGGGCAGAAGTATAATATTAAGTTGTGAATAAAGTCTAGTGCCTAATGAAAACTTCAAAGTCAAAAAATCCTAAAATGATAGTGCTGTACTGGGCCATGTGGAGCACAGTTTAGTCTTTGCATTTGACCAATGAAGAAACTGAGGTGTGGAGTGGTCACTTGGCATGTCATGAAGCTTGTTGGGTCAGAGCTTGTGCCAAATGCCAGTCTCCTGCCTTCCAGCCCTATGGTCTTTATGTAGTAGCCTTGTGAGGAGAGGGTGGCTTTGGGCTACTCATAAAATGAGAGCAGTGCCATGTACCCGTGAAGGTAAGGGAATATATTTTAATTGACTTGGGTCTTGGTTTGTGAAATCATGTCATAAAAAAATAAGTATTTTGCCTGATATCTTCACAGCTGTGCTGCTTTAAAATTTTAAAACACCCTTTCTAAATGTAACACCAAGAATTATCCTTAATTAACAATAAGCAGTGTTTCTAAGAGCTTTTATTTCATATATATGTGTGTCTCTGTGGGTATAATCTTCAAGTAGGGAAGTGTATGAAGTTTCAGTCATTGAGAACCTCTGAAATGTCTTTCTTTGCTCCCTTAAAAATCACTTCTCACTTTTCAGGTGTTTGTGTGATGTGTTTATTTTTGTGTTGGAGGTGAAAGTAGTTGTTTCTTCATTAGCCTAGTGCCAATTTGAAAGCCATGCTCTGTTGTAGAGAGAAAAGTACAGTTGCCTTTTGGGTTAATTCTATTGTCTGATGTTTATTATTAATCTCTGTTAAATAATTGTGTAAATTAACAAGGAGACTAGTTGAGAAGTGGTGGATCACATGAAGAAGATATTCGTCTTTGCATGGATTAGATGTGATTAGATGTGGTCAACTTTGATCAATTTCACGCTATCTTATAAAAAGTGACTGTGTTGGAAGGAGAAGACTTAATACTAAAAATGTCACTGATTTCACTTTAAATTGAAGTCTTACATTTCCAAATACTCCTTTCTTTCTAATATGCTGTGAAAATAATCTGCTTTCCAGGCCTATTTTAAACTATGTTAAGTATTCTCTCCTTGAGTGTTAATCCTGTTTCATTTTGATTATAAATGATCAGAATAATTCTAAAACATTTCAGTTTTGCTAATTGGTTGAAATCTATTGATGTTGACCATGGTTTACTTATTTAAGGAAAAATTTCAGGTGTGTTTTTCTTCAGTTCAGTACCAAAAGGACAAACCTGCCATGTACCAAAATGAAGTTCATCATCAAAGATAGTATATGGTATTGTCAAATGTATTAATAAATGTACTTAATATATATTTTTATTTTAAAATTAGGTTGAGATTTATTTGTTCCCTTTATTAAAAATTATGGTATAATACTTGAAATTATTGTATGAAAACACATAGGAGTATAGCATGAAATAAATGTTACTTTTTTAAAACAATGACTTTAGGATTGCAAATTTCCTGTCTTTCAAAACAAATTAGCCATTTTTTAATCCTAAGAAAGAGTTGCATTATAAAGTTGATCTACTACTAACTTATCAGAGAAAACACCTGGGACTCATATCTAATTCTCTTATGTAGCCAAAAGTGCCATTTGTAAATCTACTTAATGATGGACATTTTCTGAAGGTCTTTTGCCTGGAAAAAAATAAAAGTGCATTAAAGAGCTTTTTCTGTACTATATTGGATTCAGAATCATTTTCTCCCTACTCAGATCAGATGGGTATTACAGAATATTCTATAAGGAAAAATACTACATGCTTGTTTACTGCTCTGGGAGAATGTTAATTTTTTTCAATGAATTAGGAAACCAGTTACATAATTCCATGTGGGGGGACAATGTAGAATATGGGGGTGAGTAGTTATTCAGACAACACTCAATATTAACCAAAAGAAGTTTTAGATTTTCTGTCTTTATTCACTCACACATTCATTCTTTCATTCAAGAAACCTTATTGAAGACTTGTGTTTTGCTGAACACTATATACTGGCACTAGGAATACAAAAATAAGTAGATAGTCCTTGGATCCAACTCATCCCTCAAGAGTCACCTTTGGGCCTGTCTTCTAGAAGTCTGCATGGATAGGGGAAATAAGAAATCATGGTGTTAAAACAGGTGGTTTAATGCTAGAAACCACCATCCAACCCAAAAACCAGAATACTGACAATAAATTATGTTTAACTGTATTATTTTTCCCCAACCACTTTTTCTTATCCAAGGAGAACACATGATGAATGTTGAGTTTACAATTTTCTTGCTTTTTATGACTTAATAATTGTTAAGGTTTTTAAGTGAACATTAAAAGAACATCAAGTTTTATGTAATCTTCTGGGAGTTGCTTGTTTTTATCCAATATTAAGTTTCTGCCAAATCTTTGTGTATAGTTATAATTCATTCATTTTTCACAGCTTCATAAATTTCCAGGCCACAAATTATTTATTTTCTTGTCAATGGGCATTTGGGTTGTTTGCATTGCTGTCATGAATGTGGTTACTATGAACATTATCACTCCACCTCCTGGGGACACAAGGGAAGGAGGATCCCTCAAGTATCCACTTAGAGGAAGAATTGCTGG